CATTCTTAGAATTTGAAATACTCTATGTAATCTTACACTGCAAAATAACTCAAAAAGATTAAAAGATAGCATCATAATTATTTACTGAACCCTTAAATTAATCACAATTATATAATGAAAGCCATCAAATTAATTATTTAATTACAATTAATCGCGATAATCGTGATAATCGGCAAAGCCCTAAAAAAGACAATTAATCGCAACGCAGTATGACGAGGATCGTTTTCATTTTAAAACATAAACGCACCAGTATAAATGTAGCCTTACGTCTATGGGGGCTGGGACACATTCACACTACAGCCTCACGTGCGCGCCTCATCTCTGAGTGTAACCGGTGTAAACTAGTAGGTGTGTTCGACTTGACGCGAACTGACTGTGCAGACCGATCGGTGTATTACAGTACCACGAGAGCTAAAGAGAGCAGACTGCTCCGTGCACTTTCGAATCGCTCTCGCGGATGTCAAACACTGATCGATCTACGTCGCTAGTGCTGCAGGCTTATTGGCTCACTGACGCTGATGAGATTAACCCCTTAGGTATCGAAATTTGGTACCGAACGACGAGACGTTTTTCGATACTCTATGGTATCGAGGCAATTCGGTCGGTGCCTAAAAAGTATCGAACTCGATACCCAGCCCTATTATTATTACTTTGATAAGTACACTTTAGTATCCAATAATAATATATTTCTGTCAGAATTTCTTCAACTTTTATTTTTATGGGTTATCGCAAAGATCTTTGAGTTTGTGTATGTATTTGACGGTAGTTTTTCTCAAGTGAAATGGTGTAAAGCTGTTGAAGTGACTCTCAGAGCAGCTCTGGAGATAAAGTTATTGTGTTCATGTGTCATATATTGAGATGCAGACGTTGAAACACCGTAAGTGTCACTTGTGTTTGAGTTTGTGTAGTAGATGAAACTACGGCACTAAACACACAGAACATGCAGACCTATTAGCCACATATGCACTAACTGCCTGTCATCACATTTATTTCTGCTGTGTGATAGGCTGTTAGATTAATTCATGCTGAGTAAAAATGTCTTGAGCTTATTTCTTATGCAAAATTGCACATTTTTCAAACATTTGTCTGATGCATTTTTGCTATTCGCAATTCAGAAGCGAGATCGCGCTCACGCGGAGGAGCTTCAGCACGCGCAACACGAAAGCCCTGTTTAATTATGATAGAAGAGAGAACTAACCGATAAGAATACCGTTAAAGTACTGAATCGATAAGCAGTATCGGTAAGAGTAGTAATACCGTTAAAACCTTAACGATACCCATCCCTACACAAATATTAGTAAGGTAGTATGCAGTTCCAAATATAACCCCTCTCTGCATTACATGTGATATGCCACATTGATAAGGATGTTTGTGGATCACCATTATGGACATCCCACGAGTGCTAACTTCCCCCATGTCTGCTGGAATGCTCTCCAACCCGTCGGCTTTGTTTTTTTGCACGAGTTACTGAGCCGATGCCGTAGGGGCAGACAGCCAGAGGATCAGGTTCTGCTACTATTGTCCCGCCTAAGTTTCACTGCGTATGGAAATTGAAAGCTCTTCAGATGGGTTTGGAGCTCTGAGGGACTTTGGAGTGTTTTATTTCAGAAGAGTCTGGAACTATCACATGACAAGCTCTTGAACTTTGACCGCTGTTAGAGGCGTGGATGGTGTCAGACTGTGTGGAGCGGACAGAACTGCACTGTTTTGATTTTGCATAAGCGACGAGGATCCTGCCATGTTATCGAGCTGCTAAAGAGAGCATGACTGCATGTTCTTCTGCAAAGAGCCTGAAAGAAAAATATCAAGACCACAGACATAGACGCGATGACCGCCAGAAATCTGCTCCGCTGATGGATATCGCACTATAAAGTCTGCTTTTCCTACGCTTCAGGTAACAAGACTTTTCCAAGAACAGGGATCGGCAGGCTTTTAAAGGAATGACGCACGCAGTAAATGTGGGAAAAAATGCTTGAAATGTGAATTGTATCCAGCAGGAATTTTTTATATGGGTGTGTGTTGTTGAGGCCTGAACTATTTACTCATCATTTCTCTCTACACGTTTTATAATTCACTCATCTGGATAACTGGTGTTTAATATAGCTTTAAGGCTGGTCATTTAACAATTAATATACTTAAAATCAATAAGTTGTGTTTGTCTGAACAAGGCCAGAACAGTTATCGCATGCTGATTTTTATTATTATTTTTTATTAATGTGAATTAATGCTTTAATGATTATTTTCTTTTTATTATTTTCTTTTATTTCATTTCATTTTATTTTTATTTTTATTTAATTTTAATTTTGTTTTATTTAATTGAATTTTATTATTTAATTTTATTTCATTTGACTTATTTTTAATTTTATTATTTTACTTTATTTTATTCTATTTTTATTTTATTATTACTTTAATTTGTACTTTTTTAAAATTATTTTTATTGTTTTATTTTATTAGTATTTTATTTTATTGTTTTATTTTATTTTAATTTTTTATTATAAAAGCATTTTATTGAGCAAAATATTGTGTAAAGTTTGCAGTATTTCTGTCCAAATGTATATTTATGCAAAGTTTATTTTGCAAAGTTTATTACATCATATTTGGCCTGGATTTAAGTTTTGGAGAATCTTTGTCATGTTTGATCTGAATGTTTTGTTTGGTTAAGGGGCATCATTATGCATGTTTTTCTAGTTCTTCAGGGTTTATGGTTTGGATCAGGGTTTATGGTTTATCAGGTCGTTTGCTCCATTTCTCCAGACTCTATTTGGTTAGACTTACTTCACAAAGTCCCAATGACAGACAGCATTTCATATTCTGTTTCTGCCTGGATTCTCTCTAGAGCTCAAAGTCCACAGGTATCACCGCTGACCTTTTGAACCCACAGCCTATTTGTGTAATTTAAGTGAAAGAAACTGTTTAAGTGCAGCTTTGGCAGCTGGAGAGCTGATGTGGAGGGACACAGCTGGAATCAGTCAGCAGATATCTGAGTTTTGATTAATAGCATGTCTGAGATTAATAGCCCTGAATTTCACTTAATAGGTTGTCGATGGTTCTTTTTATTGGCCATATCGCAGTGCTGTATATTACACTATGTAATATTACAAAGGCTGTCAGGGTTTGAAGAGATGTGCAAGGGTTATTAGAGTTAACAAAAACAAAAAAAACATTCGCGTTACTTGAAATTAAATAAACTTTAACTGAAATATATATATATATATATATATATATATTTATATATTCTCATTTTAATTTAGTTGAACTTGATGTACTACAGCAACTAAAACGGAAATAAAAAAAATATATAAACTATATACAATATGTACATAAAAAAATAATAAAAATGACAAGAAAACAAACTAACATTACAATTAGTTACTAAAACTTACTAAAGTTACTAAAACTAAAATTAAGGTGAAAATATCAAAATAAAAACTAATTTATATTAATAAAAACTTTAATAGCATTTTAATGAATATAAAAGTATTTCAACTAAAATTGAAAAAATATTTGATAAACTAAATGCATATTGAAAAAACAATAACTAATAATGGCAAACAACAAAAATTACAGTCACAAGTACTAAAACTTTCAAATGAAAACTGAAAATATAAAAATATTCAAAATACTAATAAAAACACTAATAGTATTTCAATGAGAACTAAAATTGAAAGAAAAATTGATAAGGACAAAAACACAAATTAAAGAATTAAAATAAACTTAAATATAATATAAAATATAATTCATTATAAAAACTAATTTAAATGTATTCATAAAAACTATAACACTATCTCATTGAGAATTAAAATTGATATAAGTGGATAGAAACTACATATACATACTAAAAAAAAACGAATAAAAAACAAAACATAAAAATTTTAACCAATACAAAATGCTAATAAACACTGGTACAAAATAGATTAAAAAAACAACACTGATAGGTGTTTGACTACATCTGTGACATGCTAATAGTTTGAAGTTATAAAAGGGCAGTACTGTAAAAGATTAACAGCGCAAAGCTGAATCCCTTGAGTGAGTCTGCTAGCAAATATTTGCAGCTAACTTTCCTCATGCATAGTGTCAGTAGATCCGTCCCGATCTCTCCATCAACCATTAACAATCTGTCTTTCTGTTCCAGTGTTGTTCCGGCACCACTGCCACTGGCTATTGATAAGGTAAGCGCTCACGACTGCCTTTTTAATGCATTATATATGAGCTTGTTTTTGTCCAAATTAAACAGTGGTCATCAATTAATGTTTTCCAGTTCATTATGTTCTTATGTTTTTTGGATACCAAACAGCATGCAGCTTTGCCATGTTGTCTCAAAGCAGCTGTCTTATGAATGCCATTGATTTCTAAGTCTTTGCTTTGAATCAACACCTCGCGTTATGTGCCGCTATCTGAGGTTTGCACGCTGCTCTCCGTCAGGCTGTTATATGGTGTGTTTGTGAACAATCCTGGAGGTGGTCCAGATGAAGTTAGATAATGCAGTTATCCTCTCATGCCATGCTCCGTGTGGGATGCCTCTGTGAAGCTTTAACAGGGAACAATTCGGTTGTGTGGCGAGTCATTCCCAGAACAGAGGTGTCTTTCTTTAGAAGTTTTAAATATGTACTCATGCTTAATCATGTTCGTGTTTAAGCCGAGATATAATAGCATTGTTCATTGTGTGCTTTTTGGTGCATCTAAAGTCAAATGCTATTACTGACACCTTGTCGATCAGATCTCAGCAACACTAGACACGCCTGCTTCCCAGTTAACATCATTTAGTGCATTACTAAAGTGATTTGTTTAAGGTACGGTTGTTTGAAGTACATTACCATTTGAAAGTTTGTGGCTGGGAAGATTTTATAATGCGTTTAAATTAAGTTTCTTATGCATACCAAGGCTGCATGTATTTATTAAAAAATATATTAAAATTAATTTAACAGTATATGGCCATCTGTAGGCATTGAGAGTCCAAATGCAAAGATGTTGCATGTAGAGATTAAATGATTCAGTGAGCTGGCCTTGATATGTTTATATTTATATATTTGATTAATAAAAAGGTAACTATATATAAGTTATGTATTTTATTATATATAAAATATTTTATATAATTTTTAAAACATTTTTAATGCAATTTAAACATTTCACACACACACATATTTTTTTTTACACAGACACAGACACAGACACACACACACACACACACACACGCAAGCAGCCATTGCTCTAGTCTTCAGCTATTTTTGATTAATTTAATGCATACAAAAAATGTATTTCAGTCAAACAACTAAAAATATACTGACTAAACTCTTGAATGGTAGTATATGCATAGTTTTTGAACTAATATTGCTCACAACTTCTTATGCTATAGAAGACAATAAGTTGTGACTCTGCTGTAGCAGGTTTTAAATGTAGGAGCCTAAAAGTGAAGTAATAATGAATGTTTAGGGGAGTGTGTTTCGAATTCAGTCAGAAGTTTTAACTTGAGCAGATGGATTAGGAAAAACAATTGGTGAATGACATCATCTGCATCTGTGATGATGACAAAATCATGCATGTGTAAATCATTAAATCATCGTGCTCAGAGTCTCCGTCTGTTCTAATGAAGACAGTGTGGATGGACTGGTGTCCGCCTTAAACCCCATGAATGCAGGCCTGCCAATGTCACGTCCGTTTCCAGTTGCATATAGCACTTCTATATCTGACCGCAGCATCTGACGCTGTCAGTATAAAAATACTTTCCACCGCCTCTGCTGTGGGAGCGTCTCCTCATGTGGATTCAATAAATGTAACTAAACTTGAGTCACGATTTCTTTATTTGGATCGTTAGGGTTACAACTGCTAGGAATGAGGCAATTCAATTTAAGAGCTCCATATGAGGAACAAAGCCTCTATTCATTTAGACTGGGACCATCCAAGGCTATCTGCCAGTTTTCACCTTTTCAGATGATGATGTTTCTTTTGGTGAGACTGAAAACGGCTTTTGACTTAAACTGTGCTGCTGATTCAGATGTATCAAGGACAGCATGTGAAAAGATGCTCAGTAGATTCAAAGTGTTTTATTGAGGCATGCAGATATATGGTTGTGAGATGGATACACTGTGTGCAGATTTCTTTTTCACTGCTTTTTTTCACTTTCTGTCATGCAGGTGTCCGCAAATACACCCAGTATGTATTCTCAGGAACTGTTTCAGCTCTCCCAGTACCTGCAGGTATGGAGCAACACTGACCTCTACTGGCCATCTAAAGACATTAAGAGTCCAAATGTGAAGATGCATGTTGAGATGTTTGTCTGTTCAGTGAACTGGCCTATAAATATAAAATGTACTTATATAGTAGTATTGTTATTAATCAGTATTAGTATTATTATTATTCAAATAAAACCAGTATATACTATATATAGTCATTCACTTCCCCCAAAAAGAATCAGAATCAGAATGAGCTTTATTGCCAGGTATGTTTACACATACGAGGAATTTGTTTTCATGACAGAAGCTTCCGCAGTGCAACAGAATGTCAGTAACAGGACAAAAACACAGATAATAAAAAAAATAATAATAATTTAGAACAAGTAAATAGGGAATAACAATATACAAAATGATATACTTTAAAAAAAAATGTTACTAAAAATATTACATATATATTTTACAGTATATAAAATATTTTAGTATATTACCGTTTTTTCTTTGTTATTATTACTATTATTATTACACTATATATGTATATTATTACTAATCAAATGTGATTTGTTTAAAGTTTGGGGTCGCCGAAAAGATTTGAATGCTTTTGAAAGAAGGCTCTTATACTCACCAAGGCTGCATTTATTTAATGAACTATACAGAAAAAACTGTAATATTTGGGAAAAAATATTTCAATTTAAAATAACTGTTTTCTATCTGAATATAGTTTAAAATATAATTTATTCCTGTGATCAAAGCTGAATTTTCAGCAGCTATTACTCTGGTCTTAAGTGTCACATGATCCTTCAGAAATCATTCTAATACGTGGATTGGCTGCTTAAGAAACATTTCTCTTTTTTTTCTTTTTTTCTTTTTTTTTGTGGAAACCATTCTAAATATTTTCAAGATTAAAAAGAACAGCATTTATTTGAAATAAAAATTTTTTTTAACTATAATTCTTTATGTAAATTAACAATATTGCAGTCTTTACTCTCACTTTTGCTCAATTTAATACGTTCTTGCTGAATAAAAGTATACATTGAGTAGTATAAATATTGTATATTGGTATACATATTAGAAATCAGATAATGTTGATGTCGTGTTTGTGTCCTTCAGGAGGCCTTACACAGAGAGCAGATGCTGGAGCAGAAGTTGGCTACTTTACAGAGGCTGCTGCACAGCACACAGGAAGCATCAGAGAGCAGCTGGCAGGTACGGCACACATCGCAATTAAAGAGAAGACCATTATTAATTATTCAGAACAGATGGCTTTTTATAGGCATGTTTAGTAGTGCTCAGAATATGTTACAGTTATGACTGTTTATTCCACTATACTTCTGTATTTGTCATGATGGCAAGGTCTGTTTATGTGTCTTTCCAGGCTTTAATCGATGAAGACCGGTTACTCTCTAGATTGGAGGTGATGGGGAATCAGTTGCAAGCATATTCAAAAGTAAGGCCCGTGTCTGCAGATTTGGTTCTGTGCTGACAGAAATATAGTTCCTGTTTCACCAAAGCATGTTGTTTTCTCAGAACCAAACAGAAGATGGTATCCGAAAGGAGCTTGTAGCCTTAACAGAGGACAAACACAATTATGAGACGACAGCCAAAGAGTCCCTGAGGCGGGTCCTTCAGGAGAAAATCGAGGTGGTCAGGAAGCTGTCCGAGGTGGAGGTAAAAACACATAAAACTTTTATTAATGCCTAAATAAAAGAGCTATTCTAGAGAGCTATGTTTTTATATATGCATGCTGCATTTACTTAATTTTATATACAGAAAAAACTTTAATATTCTGAAATATTACAATTTAAAATAACTTTTTTGTATTTTAAAATGTTATTTATTCCTGCAATCAAAGTTGAATTTACAGCATCATTACTCCAGTCTTCACTGTTGCATGATCCTTCAGAAATCATTCTAATATGCTGATTTGCTGTTAATGAAAAAGCAATATGCAACTTAGAGTCTTTACCATGATAAAGGACGTTTTAGATGTAAAGCATCATACCCAGTTATATCCATTAGATGTTTTCTGTTGTATTTGTTGCAATTGATCCGTTTTTGTGTTGCAGAGGAGTTTGAGTAACACAGAGGACGAGTGCACACACCTGAGAGAGATGAATGAACGCACACAGGAGGAGCTCAGAGAACTCGCCAACAAATACAATGGAGCGGTCAATGAAATCAAGGATCTCACAGAAAAGATCAAGGCATGTCTGCCGTTCACCCAATGTCCCGCATAAAACCTGTTAATTTGCTAAACCTGTTAAAGAAATAGTTCACCCAAAATGAAAATTTGCTGACAATTTATCACCCTCAGGTCATCCAAGATGTAGATGAATTTGTTTCTTCATCAGATTTGGAGAAATGTAGCATTGCATCACTTGCTCACCAATGGATCCTCTGCAGTGAATGGGTGCCGTCAGAATGAGAGTCCAAACAGCTGATAAAAACATCACAATAATCAACAAGTAAGCCACACCACTCCAGTCGATCAGCTCACATCTTGTGAAGTGAAAAGCTGCGTGTTTGTAAGAAACAAATCCATTATTAAGACGTTTTAACTTTAAACTGTTGCTTCCAGCTAAAATACGAGTCCATAATATTGCTTCCTCCTGTGAAAAAGTGATCTTGTCTGAATCAGGAGAGGAATATGCAGATCAAGCACCGTTTACAAGCCAAAACATCTAAAACAGTTCTAAACAAATATGTGGGCAGCTTTTGATGTGAGAGGACAACAGGATGACTTTTTCACTGGAGGAAGCGCTATAATGGAACAGCTGCAGGAGAAAAGCATAAAGGAAAACAACAGTTTAGGTGAGTTGGAGACGCATGCGTCTGCTAGTGTGCTGCTAACCTTGCATCACCTCCTTGATTAATTCAGCATGGGAGCTCGCCTTTGGTTGCCTGTTTTTCATTTTTCATTCTGTCCCTCTTTTTTTCTGTCTGTTCGGCTTTGCTTCCGTTATGACCTGTTCTGTCTTGAAGGCCTTGACCTTTTGCATTGAGCATGTGTGTTCAAGTCCGCACCTATGTGTACAGTTTTGGACTCTTACTTGACTTCCTCCCCCCCAATTTGGCCGTTTCTCAATATGTTCTCCCTGTGCATTTGATTAATTAATCATTATATGAGGAAGGTAGTCTGAACCAAGCTGGTTGGCCTGTTTAGTTATTTGTACTAGACTTCTTGCTTGATGATAAAGCTCTGAATGTTCAGGACCCATTTTATTCTACCACATTGCTAATTATTTAGATTTTAAGTGTCATTTAGTCAATGTTTAATTAGGGTTGGCGCTAAACTCTGCAAGAAGATTGGACACCCCTGGTGTCTATGTAGTTAGTACACAGCAGGGCACTAGGGTTTGAAACAGCCCAAGAATCACTTGGTTATTTATATTCCTGAACCGATTTCTACAACTACATTCTCTGGCAATAATAAGAGAGGCAAATGAAACTACTGATGTGGCGCGCCACAGACCACAAACCTCTTGGCAGAGACGTTTCGCTCGCTGAACTTTCCCTTTATCATTAATTTCCATGAAATATACTGATCTCAGGAATGATTAGGATAGCGTAACGTGTTTTTTTTTGCTTCAATAAGACCTGTGTAGAGAACATCAGCCTGTGCACAGCCAAAAGTGACTGAAAACTTCAAAGATGCTGTTGTTTGGCATCAAAATGTGTGGTTGTTAAACCACGAATGGTGCGCATGCCATTACACAACAAGGCCTTTTGCTGTAAGAGCATAACTGTACAGGACACTGACTTGAAGCTTTTATAATAGGGCAGCCAGGTGGAAACAATGGAAGTTTACAGGGCTGCATGATTTGGGGTAAAATGTAATTGCGATTTATCTGATTTAAAAAAATGTGATCGCAATTGGAATTGGAATTTATTTATATTAGTTAGTTTCTGGTTTTATATGCTTGTTTGTAGGGCTACACAGTTTGCCCAAAAAATAATTGATTAAATATCAATATGACTATAAAATAATAATAATATTAATAATCATAATTTGTTGTTATAATTATTATTACTACTACTACTACTAAATAAAAGAAAATTAGAAATATTGCTTTCGTAATGCTATTTCACTGTAAAAAAAATCATGTATTAAAAAAGGATAATACAACAGTTAACCAAATAAATGTAGTATTTTATTTTACAGACTCTAAAAGTACAATACTAATATTTATGGTTCTTAATTTCTTAATTTAAATTCTTAATTTCTTTTTCAAACATTAAACAATAAAGCTTTTATTTTGAAAATGTTATTTAGAAGATTCCCAGACAAATTCAGTATTTTTGAAACTTAGGGAATGGAATCTTCTACAAAAACATAATTTAATAAAAATTTTTACATTTTCTTTTAATTATTTTTCTTTTTTACATTTTTTATAATGAGTTCCAGGTTTGCTGTGGTTGTTTGTAGGGCTGTACAATTTGGCTATAAAATTGTATTTGTATATCAGTATAACCTTAAAATAATAATATTATTATTATTATTATTATTAATAATCATCATCACCAGTTGTTAGTAGTAGTAGTAATTCTTCTACTTAATAAACAAAATTTAGAAGGATTACTATTGTAATAATGCTGTAATATTTCACTGTAAAATAAAAAAGAAAGTATTTATGTAATATAAGTAATATAATCACAGTGCAACTATAAAATTACAATACTAATATTTATAACTGCCTCAATTTCTTTGATTTTAAATGTTAGAGAGAGCTTTAATTTTGAGCTTTTATTTGGAAGATTCCCAGTCAAATTCAATATTTCTGAAATATAGGAGGTGGAATCATCAATTGATTTATCAGTCCCAGACCTCCATGTCACAGTGTCTGACCCTGAGGTGACAGGTGAATGACAGGTGTCAATCAATCTCTTCAGGTCCATGAATAGCTGCAGTCTCCCGTCTGTGTCCTTGTCCCGCCCTCTGCATCTCTGTCGGTTCCGTCTCATGTTGTATCCTGTAGATCTGGCTTCTGTTTTAATATCATCTGATGCCCCTCGATGTGGGGATTTCTTCCATTTGCTGTTCATTTAATGGAGGGTTTTTCTTTCTTTGGTAGACCACTTTCTTTTAAAGAGTGGAGGAGACTGCACTTTAATCCAACAGTACATTGAGTGTCAATGTGAGTACACAGCATTCTTTCCAACGTCTTCCTCAGCCGTACTAATAAACCATCTTATGAATCAACACCAACGCAGGCAGCAGTTATTCTCCTTTTACTCTGTAAAGGGAGGAAGGTGTTTACAGGGACATAAAATATAGCACCGGCCTGCATCATTTTTACTCAATATACTTGTTTCCTACTAATTTTGAGATTAGTGCCTGTTTTGCTCAAGCATGTCCCACCTTTTCACAAAATATGATGCATTTTGTAGCATTTTTACTTTTGACAAGCATTTGTAAGGTGAAGCCGTCTTGTATTGTCCCTTAATCAGCAGAAAAACACCACAAAGACATGATTCCTGTCTTCCTCTGAGCCAGATTACAACTATTTGACCAAATTAAACAACTGCAGTCTCTGGGTGGCAGGAATGAGCATTATGGTTATTTTTAGCATCCTCAAAGAGCATGATGAGCTCTAATAAGATCATAATTGTCAGTGAAGTTTTAGCTATCTGTTTATTATTATTATTAAAATAATAATAGTAGGTATACTACTTGTTGTAAGTTTCATTTACGTTTAAAATAGTTTAAATCTATTTGGCCTAATAATAATAACGGGTAAAAAAAAAAACACGTTTACGTATTAAAATGTTTAAATCAATTGAGCCTAATAAAAATAATAGATATTATCCAAACCATTTGTTGTAACCTTTTCGTTTGCGCTTTAAAATGTTCAAAATCATCCAGCTTAATCATCATCATCATCATCATCATAATCGGTTATAAAAAAACAAATAAGCTACTTGTTCTAACATTTTTGTGTACATTGACATTTTTTAATCTATTCTGCCTAATGATAATAATAATAGGTTTAAAACAAACTATTTGTTGTAGATTTTGTTTACTTTTTAAAATGTTTAAATACATTCAGCCTAATAATAATGATATTAATAGATAAAAATAACAAAAGCAATTTTTTCATTTACATTTTAAAATGGTTGAATCTATTCTACATAATAATTGGTTAAAATAAAATGTAGCGAATCAGCTCACGGGGAAATATGAATAATTAATCATAACTAGTTATAATTGACTATAAATATTTAGATCCGCTGTAAGTATTTACTTGACCTCTCAGGGTCAACTGTCTGTCAATTCTAAGAACGTTCATTTCCTGGTTAAAGGAAATAACTTTCTTACTGTACAATTCTACACAGAGCCTGTAGCATAAATCTGCATGATAGCATGGTAATTTGCAAATGGACTTGAATCGAAATTACTAAAGATTCTCAGGACCCTAATATATATTGCCTATGTACCAACATATAATATACACTCTCGTTTAGATCATCAGGAGACGAACTCATAGATATTAAACATGGTAGGCTTACATATAGTTAAGATGACAGAAACGAGTGGTTCCATCACAAGCCTGCATAAACAGTATACAATTTAAAAGACAACATACACAATGACCTGAAGGATATGTGTGTTCATTCAAAGAAAGGTTTTCCTATGAATTAATTAGAGAAGAGTCCATTTTTACTGTGCATTGTGTCTCTTCCTATGGAAAGTGTACTGATTTTCTCTAGTCACATTCCTTTGGGCACTAAAACCAGTGATATCAGCGTTGGTTGCCATGGTGAAACGGGGCCATGAGGTGTTAAGACGCATTTCGGGGGAAGGGTCCATAGGTCCTCATACGGCTTGTTAACTGAGGGGTGTTACAGAGTATTTGTTAAATATAGCTAACAAAATATATATATTGTGTGTTTGATTGGTCCAGACGCTACAAAAATAATAACCTGTTTGTTGTAACTTTTTTCATTTACACTTTGAAATGTTTACATCATTCTGCCTGATGATGATGATCAATTTAAAACAAACTGTTTTTGTAAGCTTTTTTGTTTACAATTTAAAATCTTTCATTCTCATTCTGCCTAACAGCAACAACAATAATAATAATGATAGGTTTAAAACATACTATTTGTTATAACTTTTTCGTTTATACTTTAACATTTTTAAATCCAATAATCAGTGCAAAAAAAATGAGTAAATTCACTGTGTACCAGGTAATAACCTCATGAAAGCTCCTCTGTGTGATGAGGTGGCGTTTAGACCCCTCAGTCTCTTCAGATTAGAGTCTGAGATCACGGCCACACAGATTAGACCATAATTCACTGGTCAACCATTACCTATGATGACATGATTTCGTTATTCTCCCTTCAGTCCCGTTGAGTCACTGGCCGTCATTCTGCCTAACAGCAACAACAATAATAATAATGATAGGTTTAAAACATACTATTTGTTATAACTTTTTCGTTTATACTTTAACATTTTTAAATCCAATAATCAGTGCAAAAAAAATGAGTAAATTCACTGTGTACCAGGTAATAACCTCATGAAAGCTCCTCTGTGTGATGAGGTGGCGTTTAGACCCCTCAGTCTCTTCAGATTAGAGTCTGAGATCACGGCCACACAGATTAGACCATAATTCACTGGTCAACCATTACCTATGATGACATGATTTTGTTATTCTCCCTTCAGTCCCGTTGAGTCACTGGCCGTTCGCTACACTGTGCTTATTCATGGAACACTGAGTTCAGAAGATCTATCATGTGATGTAACAGCAGGAAGGGTTGTTTTTCAGGTCATATATTGATTTAAGTGTGCAATGTTTGGCCTGATGTCTGCAAGTAATGGAGATATCTAGACAGCATTGACTGATAGTGATTTTCTGATTGACATTTAGAGCTTTCATTGAAGAGATACTGAAAATTTGAGGTGCAGTTCAGTCATATCGGATGATGCATTAGTGGTGGCATGCCAGGAGTTTCTTTAGACCGCTGTCACCTCCTCCTCTTCAAACCCCATTTATAACTCTTTTTAGTCCACATGGATACTACAGCAGCGCAAAACTAAATCTGCAACTAGTTTAGCATGTGACTGTATGTCCCTTTGGAAGCCCAGGTCACTCAAATGACCATGTGTGGGCAATAACTACCACCAGCCAGAGAGGATGAACTACAGGGGGCTCATTCACTGCCTGCTATTGTAGATCAAAAGTAATCGTGGCTAATATATTAACAGCCAACAAACACACACCTGTTTAGACATGCAGAGTGAGCCTGGTAAAGGTGGTGATCGCTATATAAGTGTGGTTGTTTTAATGTTGTTTTGAGTTATGATTGTGTCCCCCCTCTCCTCTAAGTGGTCTCTTCCGCTCTGCCTCCATAGAAAACCAAATAGACGCTAAAGAGAGCGATATGTCAGATACCCTGAGCCCCAGCAAGGACAAAAGCAGTGACGACACGTCAGGTGCGTGAAACATGGACACATTTGTAATGTATGAATTGCTGCATTTTGGCTCCTACAGGTTTCATTTATACATCCAAAAATAATAAATATATATGAAAATCTTAACTTTATATTTTATCTTGTATATAAATTACAAATTGTGATGTAAACTTGGTCTGATTTATTTTTCAAACTTTATTTTTGTCTTTTGTTCATGTTTTTTTTCCATTCTGCCTTTCATTTATTGTATTTTTTAATGTTTTATCTTTCTTTCTTTTATTCTTCCTTTGTTTTTTTTGTTCTTTCCCTTTTATTTGTTTTCTTTTTTTCTTCATTTTTTTCTTTTTTGTTCTTTTCCTTTTCCTTTTTTTGTTTTTATTTTTTCTGTCCTTCATTTTTTCCCCTTTCATTTTTTCATGTTTTGTTCTTTCTCTCTTTCCAGACGGACAGATGGATGAACAAGAACTGAACGAGCCCCAGAACAGGGTTTCTCTTCTGAAAGGTAATCCCTCCATTCTTTTGTGTGGAAGTTTTCTTTTCAGCTTCTCTGTCTGAAATGCCAGTGCTGGTGTGTTTGTGTGATTTGGCTGGCCTGAACAGTTAGTCACCCTCTTTATCTGTACTCATTAGAGCTCAGTGGACTGGCATGCGGCACAACAGTGCAGCCTAACAGGGTGTGTTATTCCCCAATCTGACTATATATGGTCTGTATCTGCTGGAGGTGACAGCGGTGGGACCCAAAGGTATTAGCGGTGGGCTCGAGCCGTCCTCCTGGCAGGTGTCTCAGCGTCATCATGGTTTATCTCCTTCCCTCAGATCTTTCCCCTCGCCCCACTTTATGTTCCACCAGAGGACAGTCTGGAATGTAAACCAATTACAGCCCAATTAGACACTGAGTGCTTTCACAATGTCACGTACAGCTGCCGCTCAGATGTTTGTCAGTCAGAAGAAAAGGGCTGTTTTTTTTTACTGATACAGTGCATCACTTTTTAGTTTCTCCAGAATTTTAAATGTGTTTAGTGTTACATTTTAAAACTTTCAGAGTAACTTTAAACGGATATACTAAAACTTCTTATGAACTGCTTAGCAACATTTTGGCAACCACCAACATTAGCCTACAACTATGGCGGTGACTTTTGCATAGACAGGCAGAAAATGTTGTTTTTTTAAGTGATGTTTGCTTTAAATGAAAGACCTTTAACATATTGTCTCATAGAAAAAAAATTTAAAACCAGGTTTAAGCAGCAGTTACATTAATGAATGGTGATGAAATAGACACTACAGTGACATGAGCTGAAATAGCACAAATCTCTACTGGTAGTTTGTTTTCTAGTTGTCATAGTGGCTCCTCTAAATCGAGGGCATTCGCCCCCTTCTCATGCGGTTCATCTCAGATGTCATCAGCTCAGTTGTGACTCTCACCCGCTCAGGCGGAAAATATCGAGATCATTCATCTACTTTCACCCTGCTGAGTCAAATCAGACAGCAGGACATTTGACTCCCACACATGCATTTCCATTAAGGCTCATCTATAGGGTCATATAATGGAAAACAGGATTTGAGGAAGTATTATACAGCCATACTACATAACGTTCATAATGGATAATTAATCCAATTCGAAGTCCACAAAGACCATTTATTGGAACTATACCATAAAAGCAGCTCATTCAGAAATCAATATGATGTCAGTCATGAGCTCATTAACATATGGCCGACCATTTTTACATATTCATTGCCTGTTGAATATTCAGCAACTTAATCCACTCTAAGTGTCAAATAGCTTGAAAAATGATTATTTGAGATTTAATTATTTGTGTTTTTGATGCAAGACACCTTGAGTAAAACTAAGTGGACTTTAAAGTGGAAAAAAATTTGTGAAAGTAGAATATGGTGTTATTAAGCTCCTGCTGGGGCAGAAAAAATCCCCTGGTAGACGCTTTGTGTGTTTAGTTTTAGTTTGGCCATGTGCGACTGGTGAACTGTATCTGTATCTGTCCTAAATAAGAGATATGACACAGCAGAAACCTCAGTGTTGGCTATTCAGAATGTCACCGTTCATTTTTCTTAATGTCACCGTTCAATTCATCTTAATTCAGTCATCAGCTCTCGTGATGGCAGTGAGCTCATGTCCTTTAACGGGACGTCAGATAAGGAGCGCTGGCTCGGATCAGGGAGGAAGTGCCAGTTTCAGCACCTCATTGTTCGAGGGCACTCTTGAGGAAGTGTAGGACGTGCCAGGCAGACTCAGAGGCGGCCACGACCAGAGGGACGTGTGCTGCAAGAGCTTTTCTCTACTTTATTATTTCTTCTTGATTTAAACGGGGACTATTCTTCACTTGAGTAGCATGCATATGTTTCCAGCTGAAGATAATGAGGAGAAATCTGGATAGATACTGTAAATCACACTTTCTGGTGCAATAAAAAATACTAAGCTCATAAGTGGACCTTAGGTGTAGTGCATACTATGTCAAGTTGCTGAATACTCAGTGTACATTGATATATAAATGTATATACAAGTTATCTTTGGAAAATTATGGAGAATTTTGATTAGGCATTAAGTGCATTAATTTTGTGTAAAATTGGGTGCCAAGCTGAAACAACCAATACAACCAAGGGAAGTTATCTGCTTTTTCATCCCATTAAATAAGTGGTTCTCAATCCTTTTGACTCCAAGCCCCTCCAATCTCCAAAATACCCCCATGTGTGCATGTTTATGGTACTTCTACTGTAATGAGAAAGCTGCTTTCCCCCCATTTTTTTATTTATTATTTTTTAATAATTTATAAAATTAATTAAATACAATTAAAATAAATAATAATAAAAAATATATAATCAATTATATTGAAATCAAAATAGTAAAATGTCTGATTTCAAAATTTCAGAACATTCAAGAACTGAATGTTCTTCAGGGTTCAATAATGAATTTAAATTTTTAAATTATTTTTAACACGCAAATAGCAATTCTACCCAAATAGTAATTTCTACTCATAATATTTTAATATTAAATGTAATAATATTTTAGAGCTTGACATAAGAACATTTTTTATTCGTTCTAGAAATTTTCACGACTTTTCCAGGTCCAAAAGGTCTAACTTTTAAAATTCATCAATATATCCAGGTTTTCCCAAGGCTGCGAGGATCCTGGTTCTTAAATAAAAATGACAAGTTGGGGGAATGAATAAGTGTTATTTATTATCATTTAGATACTATTATAGTTCTTATTTTTATTTATTTGTTTTTGTTTTTTTTACTTTTTTTTTGTAATTTTGTTTTATTTATTTATTTTTTTATAAGTATTTCTGTAGTTTTTTATTATTTTTTTTTTCCAGCTTTAATTATTTTAGTACCATCAAGTTTTATGGCTTTAGTTAACTATAATAGCCCTGGAACAAAATATGATGACAGTTTTCACCTTGACTTTTAGCTGTTTTTGCTTATTTATAAGTTTGTTTTGTCATATATTAAATCATTTTAAGCCTTTTTTGGCCCCCTTAAAAATGTGTTTAGGCCCCGTAGTGGGTCACGGCCCCCTGGTTGAAAACAACTCTGATCCCATGTGTTTGTGAGGCAGATATCTTTAGTCAACATCTTAATTGTTCAGTTTATAATAGTCATTCAGAATTCTGCTGTATTTGTCTTTTATCATAAGACATTTCCATTTGTTTTTGCATAATGATTTGATTTGTCCAAGCTTTTGTTATATGTGACCCTGGACCACAAAACTAGTCTTAAGTGTCAATTTTTCAAAATTGAGATTTATACATCACATGAAAGCTGAATAAATAAGCTTTCCATTGATGTATGGTTTGTTAGGATAGGATAATATTTGGTCGAGATACAACTATTGGAAAATCTGGAATCTGAGGGTGGAAAAAAATCAAAATATTGAGAAAATCATCTTTAAAGTTGTCCAAATGAAGTTCTTAGCAATGCATATTACTAATCAAAAATGAAGTTTTAATATATTTACAGTAGGAAATGTACAA